ATGATTCTAGTTCACATTATAGTGTCATTACTCAAAGTCAACCATTTTGATGATTTGAGACTTATCATTCTTTTGAAATGAGTCACATTCGTTTTGTTGGAAGTAATCTGGACACTACAATCTTAACACAATAAAGTGACCAGCTTTATTATATGGCTATGAATAATTTTTAAATTCAATTAAAATACATGTCTCCTATGTATGACTCTTCATACAAATATATTTTCGCATCTCAATAGAATCATAGTACCTTAATAGCTAAATAGTAAATGATTACTTAAAACAAATTCTTCGTCTTATTATCAAAATGTATTTTCATTACAAATAAATTAAATAAAATTAAACATAAAAATATACTTACTTTCTAGAGCACCATATTCTCAAAATTCCTAAGATTTATAATATCACCTAGTCCATGTACTTAGCTTAATTAACATTCATTTTAATCTAATTAAGATAAATCCTAATCATATTAGGCTTAGTTAAGTTTCCATTTATATTAATCATTATGATTTAATTTAATTAGTTAGTCAAACTATTTGACTCATTTCCCAATTATTTGGAAATAGAACAAAATAGGTAACCTTATCTTTTAAGTAGTTATTATATTCTAGTTTGCTAAATTTCATTTTCTTTCCAAATATATTTTAGGAAACAAATTTGACTGAATAATAAAGTGATAATTATCATATTTAATCTAATTAAATATGACATAATCCAATTCCTTAAATTATGGAATATCAATCGGTAAATAGGAAATTAATTTCCTTGTGCATTCAAAATTCCAAAACTTTAAGATTTTCTTTCCTTCCTCCGATCAGTCAAAGTTAAAGGTGTTAATATGGACTAGGCTGGCTCAAAATATTGTAGGCTAAGAAAATATGAGCTGGGCTAAGCCAATCCATTTTTTACATGGGCTATCAAAACCCCAACCCACCCACCCATTGTCAACCCATAAGCCAAGCTAGGCTAACCCATTTCTCTTTTTTCAAAAAAGAATAAATTTATTTCCACAATTCTACCTAATAAACTCCCTATCAATAAAATTGTTCCATGATTTAATCCATAAATTGAATAATAAAAACATATTACAAACAAATAAATTATACCAAATATAAATATGCAAATAAATTACATCAAACATAAATAAAGTTTCAATGTTTAACACAAACTACAATCTCATCAACATAAGTACATGATCAAATAAATAGAAACTTTTAGACTCCTTTATGTCCTCCCCAATCCTCATCCTCAAGTAAAACGTTTGAATCTTGTTTGGACAGCAATGATGTCTTAAAGTCTGAATCATTATTATCTAATATTCATTGCCATAAAAGAAAAAGAGATAGTGAGTTTCAATCTTAACTAAAATTATTAATTTGGCAAGCAAAGAGTAAAGACATTGAAATATATAAAATAAATAATACCATTTGTAGCTAAATTATTAATTTTATATAGTTAAATGTATAAAATTATTAAATTAACTAAAATTATTAATATATTTTCTAACCTACACTAACCTCAGACAGGCCACTGATCAAATGGGCTTAACCCATATAAACCCTGTTCCAAACCCACTTCACTTTTAGTAAAAAATGGACTGGCTCAATGAGCTAGGCTAATTTTGACAAGTCTAGTCAAAGCTTCCCAAACTACGACCAATTGGGATGGCACATGGACTCCTCTCTAGCCTCTAAAGTGGCAACTAAACACCAATCAAGTAACCAAAACTTACAAGTTGGAATTTCTCCACAACCGCAATACCTTAGGTATTGCATATCCCTAAAAGTTTGGTTGTTCATGAACCTTTTCATGAACAACCATTACCTAAATTTTTCAAACCATATACTAAACAAATTGGCATATTTTCAAAGCTGGAAATTACTCAAAGTAATATTAATGAACCCTAGAAAAATTCTAAATTTTTTTCGTTATGATTTATCACCATTCAAGCTTAAACTCGCAAGAAACTATTTGAATTTGAACTCTAACTTTTCAATATATAAAAACTTAGTTGAAATCAATATTCAAACACCTAAAAACAATTATTAAATCATGATTAATAACTAGAATTAAATTCTAAAATTTACCAACACAATTTTTGATAATTTAAACACATGTATCGGTTTTGACTAAAATTTTTGGGCAAAACGATGTTTGTCCGTTTGGTAACAACCAAAGCATAGTATCTAATCAAAGGACAACAATAAGGAGGCACTGATACTAATTGAAGGATGTCAGGAATGCTCAAAGAAGAAATTACATTCATATAACATAGCGGAATATAAACATACAAAACCGAAACCACCCTCGGATCACTTATGTTGCCTTATTAATCGGTTAAAAGCAAATATAAACAAACATATGTTCAGCCATATACCTCAAGAAGTAATTTCAAAAAATCACGTGTCAAAATCTCTTCACTTCATTGTACACTAAAGCCCAATTGTTGCAAATCAAAGTTGTCTATGTGTCTAACCTCCAATGGTGATCCACACAGATGTCAATTGAAAACCTACACTAGATTGAGATTATGTGGTGCCATGATACTACTCTAGTAGCCCAGATTTTTTGAAAAATCTCAACTCTCAAGGATTATTTGTTTTTTACTTGAAAAGAAGATAAGAAAAATTTTTCTTAAGAAAACGATGCCTAAGGCTCAGTTTCTCTTTCTATTTTATTATCATCTTTTCTCACCAATTTCTTACGAAGTGCAGCATACATGTAAAGGTATTTATAATTAACTTAAAATGCTAATCCAACTTTTGGTTTATTGCAGTTTAATCTTTCCACTTAATTAAACAATTTAATTAAGTCCATAGTGGAAATTCCTAATTTCCAATTAAATTCTAGTCCCATTTTAATTTCACATTGTCATCTTATTATGCGTGACCCATTAGGTCCACAATAGATTGACAATAAATATAAATCAATTTATTTAAAAATTAATATTTATATTTATAAATTATGAACGACATCTAGTAAGACATCATGACCACTTAAATGTTAGGAGAATCAATATGGTTTGATTAACTTTTCAGCGTACAGCATCTCAATATAATTTGATCCTTTCATCAGAATATTCCAAATAGATAAAAAACCTAGCTCGATGTTTACTTTTTAACTTATCCATATTAATCTTGTAGCTTCCATAGTAACTTATCAAGATTGCCTTGGCCAAGGATTTTCAATCAATATAAGCCAGGAGCAAATGAGATATGTTCCCTTCAAATCACTTAGGGTGATGAATCTTCATTGACTACTTATTCATCTTTGCATGCTTCATACTATATCCAAAAACACCCTATTTAGGCATTTAGTCACCCCTAAATAACCTGGTATCACTAGTCTAAGAATTACCTAAACTACTCACACATGAAAGTATTTTCATAGACATTTGAGTGAAATATAAAATGAAACTTTCATAACGAGTCATGTTCAGTGAATTGTTCCTTAATATGCACCTACATTCTATCTCTAAGTATCTCATATACTTCAACTTATGAAATGAATTGCTTAGTTCCAAAGTAAGGAAGCTTAGCATCTGCCAATCTTTGAGCATTGTCAATGCCCTTATTCTTAACATTATAATGATCAAGAACATATTTAGGAATAAGGCTTTAATGTATAAAAATCTCATAATTACAACCTTTATAATTTTTCTACAAGGTCATTATGTTCTAAAAACTTTATCTACATAAGTCTTTCATGACTCTTTATAAATAAACTCATGAATAAAGATATACCTCACACATTATATAAAAATTCATAATATATTTAATATGAAATATGACTAATTAATGTAATATTTTACAAATATAAAATCAATTGGCTTGCAACGCTTACACTAACAAATTAATATTTTTAATGCACATAAAAATTCATTAAAATCTCAACTACATAATTGAAAATAATCATCTCTTATTTTATAAAGGTAACATGTCATCCTTCTCAAAATTTAAATAAAAAAATAAGCTATCACTGCAAGTGATCCATATCAATGCACTCTAGTTTCACTTATTAATTAAGAGAGTATCTTTCCCATCCCTTCTCTCGTTCTTCGTACATGTTCTAAACTCAAATTTTAAGAGGAAATTTTTTTCCATTTAAGCATTAAAATTAAGGTGAAAACTTCATAAAAGCAAAAATAAAGAACTCATGAATTCGATTCCATAAGAATTTTAATAGAATCTTAACATAATTAATTAAAAATAATCACAATTATAAAATATTTTACTATTTGCGGATTCATATTTATTCAGATATGTAAGGTGAATATTTGTCCCTGTCAATATAATCCCATCATCTCATTAAGCCATATAACTCAAAGATAATTCCTAGAAAACGAATTGAAAACTAATTTGTTAAGTCATTTATATCTATAATAATTTTAGACGAAAGAATACAAGTAAATACTTAAGTAAAACATTGCTTCTTGCATTCGTGAATGAAAAGAGCTGCTACCTAATGGGCTAAACTTTTGTATAGTTTGTAGAGTTGCTTAAGTTTCCGCAGATTGAATTTGCTAAAGGGCAAGAATAATAGAGGAGAAACATAACACAGATTTCATGCCAAAGAAGGCAAAATATAAGGTGTCATGTTCAAGTGGAAAATTCTCAAAACTTTAATGAATCTTAATGTGTATAACAAAAATATCTGCTCTATCTTTCTAGTTCATTTTTTAGTTTTACCAAGTTAAATGTGAGGTTTTACCCTTTAAATAAGGAACATCATTTTTTAAGTAATATACTTTTTAAAATCCACATGAGGAAGCTTTGGATTAATTTATTTATCATAGTTTTTGAATTTGGACATAATTTCATAAAGTTTTTGTTAAAATTAAATAATTTTATGTCAAATAATTAAACACTTGTAGAATAAGCTTCTTTTTTCTTCTTCTTCTTTTGTGATGGAATAAATCCTTCGCCATGCACTTTCTTCTCCTATGATTTACAAATACATAGTAATTGAATTTGAACTTTGGCACAAGAAAAATAACATTTGGCTCATCTCAATTAAAGAGTTTATTTATTGATTCATAGTTACATACAACAAAATCTCAATTACAATGAAAGAATTTGTAACTTTGTAATACATTGTGTATAAAAATTCAAATGTCATTAGATTTTTTATAGGAATGTAACATATAGGAACGGGAACTTTTACTTGCTCCTTTCCTTATAATACTCTAGCATTACTAGGATGGATCTTTAAACACTCTACATTGAGGATAAAGAATAATAAAACAAAAAAAAAAAAAACAATTCTATCGTCTTTGGAAATTAAACACCTTTATGGAAACGGTAAAGATTGCTCCAAAGAGTACTGTGAACCCAAGAATTACAGCTGCAACCACCCCCAGAAAGTCATGTTTGAAGTCATAGGCATTTCTCAAGTATTGCTCAACTGTCTCACCATTGCTGCTATCCTCGAGGATGTCCTGTATATCTCCAAATTGTGAAACAACCAATCCATACAAGGTCCAAGATACTGGACATACCCAATAATACCATCTCCACCACACCGGAATACTCTGTATATAGAACAAGTTTGAAAGAGCGGGAAGAAAGTTAATCCTAATCAAGATATGTGTAGGGTATTTGCTAAAGATACCAAGAGTTTTGAAAAAGAAAAAATTATGAAAAAGCAGCACTTACAGGTCGTGGGATGATGAATCCTGAAAAAAGATTCCATATTCCATAGAATGCTGAGGAAACTATCGCTGCAATGTGGTGGTTTGGTGTGACAGCCACAGCCATCATGCCATAGAATGTAAAGTACAGCAAGGTGAAGTACATAATGAACAGATACCAGAAGAACTTAGCAGCGGTCCATTCAAATCCGATCATTGCATAGACTATAATGCCATACACAGCAGATTGAACAAAAATATATGGTAACTCGATTAAGACCTGTAGTTGCAAAATAGAAGTCAA